CCAGTAACACCAGTAACGGCTCCCAGTGACACCAGTAACACCAGTAACGGCTCCCAGTAACACCAGAGACACCAGTAACAGCTCCCAGTGACACCAGTAACACCAGTGACACCAGTAACACCAGTAACACCAGTAAGAGCTCCCAGTGACAGCTCCCAGTGACACCAGTGACACCAGTAACACCAGTAACGGCTCCCAGTGACAGCTCCCAGTGACACCAGTAACGGCTCCCAGTGACACCAGTAACGGCTCCCAGTGACACCAGTAACGGCTCCCAGTGACACCAGTGACACCAGTAACGGCTCCCAGTAACACCAGTAACAGCTCCCATCTCTCCCAGTGCTCCCAGTATAAAGCCACACCAATGTCCCCATTGCTCCCAGTGCTCCCAGTAACACCAGTAAGAGCTCCCAGTGCTCCCAGTACCATCCCCAGTGCTCCCAGTATCACCAGTACCATCCCCCAGTGCTCCCAGTATCACCAGTACCATCCCCCAGTGCTCCCAGTAACAGCTCCCAGTGCTCCCAGTGTTCCCAGTACAGAGCGACACCGGTGTCCCTGTCGCTCCCAGTGCTCCCAGTATCACCAGTACCATCCCCCAGTGCTCCCAGTAACAGCTCCCAGTGCTCCCAGTGCTCCCAGTACCATTCCCCAGTGCTCCCAGTCCACCCCTCCTCCCCCGCCCCCACCCCCCAGTCCCTCCCAGTCCCTCCCAGTGCTCCCAGTATAGAGCCACACCGGTGTCTCCATGGCTCCCAGTCCCTCCGAGTGCCACCAGTAACAGCTCCCAGTAACACCAGTCACAGCTTCCAGTAACACCAGTAACCGCCCCCCCAGTGCCACAGGTGCTCCCAGTAACATCCCCCAGTGCTCCCAGTGCTCCCAGTACCATCCCCCAGTGCTCCCAGTGCTCCCAGTACCATCCCCCAGTGCTCCCAGTCCACCCCTCCTCCCCTGCCCCCACCCCCCCAGTCCCTCCCAGTCCCTCCCAGTCCCTCCCAGTCCCTCCCAGTGCTCCCAGTATAAAGCCAGACCGGTGACCCCATGGCTCCCAGTGCTCCCAGTAACACCAGTAACAGCTCCCAGTGCTCCCAGTATAAAGCCAGACCGGTGACCCCATGGCTCCCAGTGCTCCCAGTAACACCAGTAAGAGCTCCCAGTGCTCCCAGTATAGAGCCACACCGGTGTCTCCATGGCTCCCAGTCCCTCCCAGTAACACCAGTCACAGCTCCCAGTGCCACAGGTGCTCCCAGTAACATCCCCCAGCGCTCCCAGTGCTCCCAGTATCACCAGTAACAGCTCCCAGTACCACCAGTACACAGCGACACCAGTGTCCCCA